AGGCTACGTTATGTACTGCATCCAATCTATTTCACTTCTTATATTTTTCTAAAAGGAGGTATTAAATTTATTTGTTAATATCAATTTTTAAAATAATATTAACGTATAAAACCATCAGAAATAGCACCTGATCCTTCGGGTTAAGTGGCCTTCGAACTACCTTGGAGGTGCACTGCCCCCCTCCCCATGGTAGGTTCGAACCCACCCTTGTTTACTTGTAAAAAAAAAAAAAAAAAAACCATCAGAAGTAAAGTGAGATTATTTCCCATCAAACCAACAATGCAGGGGACTATGGTTATTGCCAAAAAATGGCCATTTGTTAGGACCACAATAATTGTAATACTTTTGTCTTAATTAGGTTATTAAAAATAAATAATAATTTATAAAATAATTAATATTTATTATTTAATAAATTAAAATAAATTTATAAATAAATATTTTTAGACATTATAATTAATTATTTAATAAAAAATTATAAATTGATAAAAAAAAAAATTATGTAGCCATAACAAATTGTAGTTCTAGTTATAACCACAACCACTCTTAAATGTGATTCTAGCCATACCACAACCATCGCTCTTAAATGTGGCACTATAAAACAAAGATAAAGATGCTAGAAAACTAATGCTCGTTGGGTTACGGTCACATGGTTAAATATTAAGGCTATACAGTAATTATTTTAAAAATATTGATTTAATTTAATTTAATAATTAAAAATAATTAATAATTAATTAAAACAACTGACATTTATTATTTAGTAAATTAAAATTAACTTATAAATTAATATTTTTAAATATCATAATTAATTAATTAAGAAACAAATTATAAATTAATAAAATATTAGTTAAATAAAACAACATTTTTTGTGGACCTAACCACATCCTTAGTGTCCCCTTTTCCTCGAGAATTGAAATTTATTAGTTAAATACTAACTTTAACCTCCGAACTTCTAATTTTAACATTTTTAGTTTTTAAATTACTGTTTAAACTTTTGCGTTTCTTAAACTATAAAAAATGTAATTTTTAATCATTTCATAAGATAATTCATTAAATTTATTCATATATATATATATAATCCTTGAAACCGATTTAGTTATAGTATCTATATAATAATTAGGTTGCTTTATTAACATATATTTAATTAAATGTTGTTTTATACTTTTAAGATTAGATTTTGTAATACTTATAGTGCACTAGGCAGTAGGAATTGACTTGTGAATTGTGATCCTTTTAGTTTTTTATTATTAATAAATGAATTTATTTTTACTAAAAAAAGGTTTTTGGAAAAAAATAATGAAAATAAAAAATATTCCTTTTTAGCATGTCACGCTCCAAGGGCAGCTAACCCGTGCCATTTTGGCATTTTGGGCACTTCAGGGTGCAGGCAGAAGCCGTTTGTTAATGAAGATTGAATGAGCAAAATAGCAATTTGCATCATATTATTATCGGTTGTAGTTATTTCTAGTAAAGATGGAGACAACACCAAGGCTCGTTAACCTAAGCCATTTTGGAATGTGAAAATTATTAAGGCTATCAAAGTTGAGCACTGATTCCTCAGCTACAAAAATTTCATAGAAAATAAGAAATGAGCACCAAGGGTGGCTGCGATTATAATCACGCAAATGACGACAGAAGCTTACACATCCTCACAAAACATTTTGAGGAAATCACCTTTAGACATAGTAGCCAGTGAAAGTAAATCCCCTTCCCACAATCTCACCGGCGCAGTACCAGGCAAAGCACTCCAGCCCAAACAAAGTAGCAATGCCAGCGTCTTCAACATTCAGATCTTTCCATTTCCTCGATAAATTCTTCACATAATCAAGCTCCTTCCAGAATGACTCATATCGACCAGGGATACTGCAAATTGTGCAATCAGTTATGATGAAGCATATAACTTCGGGTAAAGTGAAATATTTATTGAGATATTTTTAATTTTTCAAATGAAAAGAAACTAATGAAAAGCAAATATATGAAAACACCATATTGGTTATTGTGTTAATTGGTAAAATGAACCATTAATGAAGCGCATATTGGTAATTGTCATATACATCTCATATTGAGAAGAAGCACAGTCATTGTTTTTGTGCTGTCTTCTTCTCAGAATTTCTACTGTCTATTCAAGTGCTTAGTCCTCAAGCACTAAAAAATAATGGTTTTGCAAAAGATATTAATTGGGCAAGCTCAAATTAAACTAGAAAAGGATACCTAATATTTATTTTTCCCAGGAAAAAAAAAAAGAAAAAAAAAAAAGGAAAGTTAAGAGCCATATATCAATTTCACTTAATATATCTTTCCCAGCAATATGGTATCTTGTTACCTTGCCTCCACTCTCCTTTTCTTTGCAAGTCAACTGGTAACAAATAAAGTATACTTTGCAAAACTACAAGCATACTTGAAATTGAAAAGGACTAAAAAAACTGAGATGCATAATGGGCATCATTGACTTTTAACTTGCGCAATATCACTTCATAGTCTAATGCAAACATCTAAACACATTTCGCAGGGATTTGCTAGATTTGAAAACACCTTTTCTAAAACGTGCTTTCCTTTAAAAAAAAGGTGCACACAAAAAGACCTATGGTAAAGCACTTAATTTGGAACAAACAGCCCGTGGTGTGCATTATACAATGAAAGCAACAGTTTTAAATTATAAAGGTCTCAGTGTTAGCTTCAGTATCATCTAATCCACAGCTTCAACAAGAATTTTAAATTTACAAGCAAAAGGAACAAAATGATAGTAAAATCAATAAAACATTTATATAGCCACAAACATCAACACTTTCATAAACTCATAGACCATGTACCATGAAGTCATCATGTTGAGCATTAAATATGCATGTTTAATGCAGTAGTCCAAGCAAAACAATCAACTTAAACTGTTAACCATGAAACCATGAAAGGATGCCAACAAAATCAAATTTGTGCCTCAAGCAAAACTCAGATCATAATTTATCACATAGTTTAGTCACCTACAACTCTAACAACTTACCCAATTAAAATATAGAACAATTTCATGTTTCACTAGAAATATTATTCTAATTAAAATAGGAAGATAAAAACATAGTATTTTGATCCATAGATTAGGAAACGATATAGTCAAAAACCAAGATACCAGAAGTGCAGAAGTGCTAAAAGACTAACCTAGCAAGACGAGTATAAAACAACTGCTTAGACAACTCATTGCATTTCTCCACAGTAGGTGGCTCCTGAATGTATTGCTTGTTCTGCTCTAACAACTGCTTGTAGTAGGGAGTTCCATGCTTTGACAAAAACTTCGATGCTTGACAGGCCTTGGATTGCAACTGCTGCAACTTCAACGCCATCACCTTCCCACCATAAAATAGAACATAAAAGCCAAATTAGCAACAATTTTTCTTAATTATATAATGCATTGGCTAAGGAACATTATACCCTGGGAGACAAAACTTGCACACACAAGAAAAAGACACTTACTTGCCCAACACAAAACAATTCAAGAATTATATTTCGACTACCGTAACTATTAACCGTCTCAATTAGCTAAGAGATCATCTACCAGGTTCAGAAAGAACATTTCCAAACATTTCCCAATCTAGACCTAAACTTTCACCAAATCATTTGCTACCATAGGCAATCAATCGGTCTAAACAGATCATAATATCAATCAAAGTCAAAAAGTAACCAAAAAAAAAAAAAAAATCAGCTGATTGATGCTGTGAATTCACCCTCGAAACGCCACCATTAGAACCACAAGGGGGAGATGCAGCTATGAATCAATCTCAAAACAGTAGATCTAAGAGAAGACGGAAATTGCAGAATCCGGCGAACTTCAACTAAATGCTATATCACCAGAAATTGCAGATCTAAGAAACGAAGTGAAATCCTACCTCCGATGAGAAAACGCTGCTGACGGCGGCACAGACGAAAAAGGTCTACGCTTCCCTCGCCGCTGAAAGATGAGTAGAATAGAATATCAGAGAGGTTTCGCTAATAACCAACTACCCAGTGAGGGGTTTTAGTGCGCGGTGTCGATTGTAATTTTGAAAAGATCAGGGGTGAGTTGTAATTTTAGATTATTTTCTGGGCCTCTCTTCCTCACGGGCTACATGGCTCAAATAGAGCTTGGCTGGCTTGTTTATTGGACACTGGACGGTTACTTGGGATCAGGCCCACGATGAAATGCTAACGAAACCCGAGTGGCAAGGAAAAACGAATTTTAATACGGCGCCGTTTGTCTTTTCGATAAGCAATTCAGAGCTGCTTAATGAATATAGAAATGCGAAGGCCCAAAGGAATTTCTCGAGTTACAAAGGTACAAAGAGATGAGATACTCATTTTAGTGAGTTTGAGTTTGATTCAAGCTTTAATTTTTAGAAGTCTCGCCCAATACACTTTTTAAGGGTTGAAATTCTAGCTTGCATTTAGTATTTCTATTGTGCGGTGACGTGGTTGTAGTTTATTATTATTATTATAAGAATTATTAAGTTTGATATTTTACCATGTAAATTATATTGAATTATAAAACACTAGTTATTACATAAAAAAACCATGTCCTCATTATCAACAGATCTTCATAATTTAATGGTTAGTGTTTTATAATTTAATATAATTTAGATTGTAAAATACTTTTTTATAATTATTTTACTTTTTATTCTATTAAAAAATTATTTTAGTTTTTTTGGTAAATCAAATGATTGGGTTTATACATCAGGAAAGGGTCTTTCTCTTAGAATAATTAATCCCCCACCCCAAGAATTTGAATCTAAAACGTAGAAGTGGTGTATAAGGTCCCAAATTTGTATAAAATTCATAATTAAGGTTCTAAATTTTTATTGCGTTTAATTATGGTCCTAAATTCTCCACTATTCTCAAATAATATCTCAATTGGATGGAAACCGTTTATATTGCGAAATTATTTATTAACTCGGTAGTTTTAACTTATTAGATATTTAAAATAGTCCTTAAGCTTTAAATTTTACTTCAATTTAGTTTTTAACTTTTAATAGTCTCAAAACAGTCTTTAAACCTAATTTCTCAGCTGATGTAGCCATTGGTATGGGACCCACAACTTAACTAAATTTTAATTTTTAACTTTATGTGAAATGGATGTGGGTCCTACACATCAAATTATGATAAATTCTAGTTGTCGAAAATCAAATGACAATTGAAGGGTAAATTAGTAATAACATGTTTTCTCTTTTTTTACAATTAGTTTTAGGATTTTTCTAACCTATATCTTAAATTAGTAAGAACATGTTTTTTTCTTATTTTTAAAAGAATTAGTTTTAAGATTTTTTTAAAGACACATGTTAAGAATATATTTATTGCACTTTTTTGTATTAATTAGTACCAAAAAAAATAAAAATTGACCTTTATTTAAATAACAGTTTAATTAAAATAATCCACATAGCATTAGCAATGAAATTAATAGTTTTGTACTTTTTAATATTAATTAATATTAAAAAGGAACAATAATTATACTCTCTGTCTTTCTGTGCATGTTAGAAAAATTCTTAGTTTTAAAGTATAATTGAATTTTGATAAAATTTAAAACTTTCTTAATAATTAATTGTTAATTAATATTTAATAAATTCATTTAGTGGCTAATTAATACATTATTTTAGTTAATTAAAATTACTATTGTTTAGTTGTGGATCCCACACCAATGGCCACATTAGCTAAAAAATTAAGTTTAAGGATTGTTTTAAAATAATTGGAAGTTAAAAACTAAATTTATGTAAAATGTTAATTTTATGGACTATTTTATAAGTTAAAATTAATGGTGTCAATAAACAATTTAATGATATAAATGGTTTCCATTGAATTGAGACCTTATTTGAGAATCATTGGGAGTTTAAGAAATTAAATTGAATGCAATAAAAGTTTGGGATCTTAAATATTGCAAAATTTGTACAAGTTTGGGACCTTATCCACTACTTTTGCCAATCTAAAAGTTTAGAGTATTAAGTTCTTAATTGATCAAACGCCATTTATAACATAAAAACTATATTAGGATTTGATAATCACTTTGAAAAAGCATTGTACATTTATATAGAATTACAAAAATGAAAATGATTAATACACCCGTTGATAGATACCCATTAATTCAACTATTAAAATTTTTAGTTTAAAATTTTGTTGCCTTTAATTCTAAATTAGAATATAATAATTTTTTATTAAATGTGTTTTGAAATATGTTAAACTTATAAGTGTTTGTGTCAATGTCTTTACTATAAATATACAAAATATTAATTAAATTTAAATTAGTTATAACAAATCAACATTTTTAATAGTGTGTTGTATAGAAGTGTTATATGAAAGCAATTCCAAACATGGTCTTATTATTAACGGAAATATGTTTCTTAATATGAACTACACTTTTTTTTGTGCAATCGTACTAAAAAATTAATTCCTATCTCATTAATTAAACTTGAATTTTTTTTAATATTTGAATAATTTTTATTCTAAATTACATTTTTTTTTTATTGATTGAAATTATATACACTTAACCAATCAAAGAGTTCCATTTTTTCCATTAATTGGAAAAGTTAAGTGCTTGTTTAATTTGTAGCTAATAGCCATAATAAAAATTTAAGATATTAGTAATACTAGATCATAACAATTATTTACTGCTAACAGTTGTTCTATTTTTGTTTAGGCCCACAAGTACAAGAACTATGTTAAGAGATGAGACCCATGCAACCTAGCCTCAATGGTCAATATGAGGTGGACTCATACTCTGAAGATCGGTGATCACTTCAATACTAATTAAAATAACTTGGTTTGTTACTCACAATTGACCTAACACTATAAGAAATGAGATTTTTAGTGATAAAAATTTGTGATGAATATTGAAATCAATATTATAACGCATTACATTTGTGACAAATTTTAAAAATTAGTTACAAATGCACTTATGTTTAATAATAACAACAAAAATTCATCACTAAAAAATGATCACAAATAAAAAATAAGTTTGTAACAATAAAAATCATCACTATAACTCATTCTAATTAAGATAAATTTCAAATATTAATCACATATACCTACATGTTCAATGATGACCAAATAATTCATCATGAAAAATATATTTTGTCACTAAAAATTGTTACAAAAAGAATACATACTTATGATGATAAAAATCATCACTACAACTCATCACAATTTTGATAGATTTTAATTTTTGGTCACAAATGTTTATATGTTCAATGATAACAAAAAAATTCATTATTAAAGAGATATTTTACCACTGAAATATAATTACAGTTAAAATATAAACTTTTGATAATAAAATTCATCACTAAAACTTATCACAAATCTATAATGCTATCTAAATAAATTTGAAACAAATAATACACTTCAAATAGTATACTTAACAACCTGCATACATGATAAAAATTGAGATTTTTTTGGTAAAAATATGAAAAGGAAAGGAAAAAGTTAGGTACGACAATAGGAAAAATGAAAATTTTTTAAATCCAAATAACTTAAGTTTTGGGACTAAAGTTAAAATATTTTAAATTTATTTAAGTTTTCTCTAGTTAATACATTTTACATCGATAAAAAACACATAAGAAAAGAAAGTTTTGCACTCTAAGTATATCCCATATTGGTAAGAAATATTTAAAAAAAAAAAGTTTTACACTATAAAACTAGATTGACACTTGTGCTTAATTTTATTTATTTGAGCTCTATTTGAGCAATATAATATGAAGCTCAATGAAACTTGAGCTTAGTTTGGGTTTAATTAATTTTAATCAGACTTAATTAATTTTGATTAAAATTAATTAGTGTTGAAATAATAATATTTTTTTATTAAACTTTTGTAGCAAATATATATATCAATTTTTTCGTGACCAAATTTTTGTTACAATATTTGTGTTGTAATTACAAATATACCATTTTTTATTTAATATCAATTTTAATGATTTAGTATCAATTTTAATAATTAATGACTAAACTTTTCATCACAATTGCATTTATGACATTTTTTTTTTTGTCACTCAATTGTAAAATTTGAGATGAAAATTGTTGTAACAAAAAATATTTTTTTTGTAATGAACAAATTTATTATAAATAACTCATTAATAATATAGATTTTTTTTATCACTATAAAATTCTTTTTTGTGATAAGTGTCAAATTCGTCACTAAGGGCATTAGTGACAAGGGTTTTATTAATAATTTAAATTTCATCACTAATTTTAGTTTATAACAGAAAATAAAGATTTAATAATCAATAATTTAGTTGCTAAACGTGGATTTTCTTATAGTGTAACAATTATTTGAATTATGTGGCATATTAATAGCTTTCACAGTGTGACCTTAAATAAGTGTGTATACACTAATTCATACGTGAATTCAAGTACAAATAGTTAATTACAAAATTAAATGCCACATCATACTATACAAAGCATTATATATAGTTAAAAATATTGTACATAAAATATAATATTTTCGCTGGAAAATCTGATAGAAGCACTTTGGTATTTTGTTGGATGGCAATGCCGTGTTTTGGCCGGGTCATGCATTTCATTTTCAGCAGGGATCACACCAAGCTAAAAGAAATGCATAGACTTGACAATTTAGGTATAACAATTAGATTAATACTGGCATTAATTTATTTGGGGTAGTATACTCAAGCCAAGCCATGCATTTCTATTTAATTATTACTGAGCATGGCATGCTTGGAAATGAAATTTGAATTAATTAATTCAAACGTGTTGACCACCTCAAATGAAGAAGGGAGGAAAGAAAAAAAAAAGGGGGGGAGGACGGGGGGGTGGGGAACAGCTTTCGAACCCAGCCAATAAAATTAGGGTTTTGGTGGAATATTGATCTAGTGCTACCTTATTCATTGTTATCCTTCTTCTCCGCATTGCTCATGATGTGATTAATTAAATTGTTTACGTGAAAGAATTAATGTCAACGACAACTATTCCCAATTATAATATGTAATAGTACTCCTAGATGTTAAGAATTAATATTAACAATTTTATTTTGATTTAACATTTTTTCCTCCATATGTTCATGAGAGACTTCTTAGGTTTTGATCAATCCTGTTTCTTAATTTTTTAGTGTTACATTGACGCGATATTTAGATTAAATACAAAAAACTTGTCTAAGAACTTTGTGACTTCCTTTAAAATTGTTAGAAACAGAAAAGAATGAGAAATATCTAAAGAAAGGTTTATTGTTTTCTTGAATAATAATATATGTACAATGATCTATATATAGGTGTTTACAAAGAGAATATTCTAAAATATAAAATATTTATAATAAATGTGTTTACATCTTAACATCCCCCTCAAACTCAAGGTGATTGTGATGAAACCAACTTGAGTTTGGAAAGAAGAGCATGAAAGTGTCCAAAAAAATGAGCCTTGGTGAAAAGATCTGCTACGTGACCAGCAGAGCCAATGAAAACCAAATGAATAGTTCCTTGTGCAACATAATGGTGAACAAAGTGACAATCAACCTCAATGTGTTTAGTGCGTTCATGGAAGACATTATTATGAGCAATCTGCATGACACTTTGATTGTCACAATAAAGATTAGTAGTAGGCGGTTGAGGAACACCCATATCTTCTAGTAGCCAACATAAGTTAAGTAACTCTGATGTAGTGTCTCCAAGAGCTTGATATCCGACCTCTATGCTAGAACGTGATGGAATTGTTTGCTTCTTACTACGCCAAGAGATTAAGGAATCACCAAGAAAAAGACAATATCCAGTGGTGAATTTACGATCATTAGAGTCTCCAACCCAATCAACGTCAGAGTAAGCATGAAGTTTAAGGGATGAATGAGCAAAAAAGTGAAGTCCATGAAAAATGGTACTTTTAATATAGCGAATGATGTGAAGTACTAATGTATAGTGAGTGGAGCGAGGTGTAACCACAACCTGGCTAACAACATGAACTGCATAAGCTATGTCTGGTCGCGTTGTAGTGAGATAAATCAAACTTCCAACCAACTATCTGTAGCAAGTAGGATCAACTAATGGAGAACTACCCATAGGTGTTAGTCGAACATTTGGCTCAAGAGAAATGGATGCAGTCTTACTATTAGTGAGTCCAGCTTTAAATATAAGATCAAAAGCATATTTTGTTTGAGAGAGAAGATAACCATCATCAGAAGAAGTGATTTCAAGTTCCAAGAAATAACTTAAAACACCAAGATCTTTCATTTCAAACTTATGATTGAGAAATTACTTAACGTCGTGAATACTTGAAATATCATCCCCAGTAATGATCATATCATCAACATAAAAAAGTAGTATAACCATACCATGATTAGTCTTGTGTATGAACAATGCCATATCATGAGGATTAGAAGTAAAACCAAACTGATTAATGGTGGTGCTAAACTTGGCAAACCAAGCTCGAGGTGCTTGTTTCAAACCATACAGAGCTCGCTTCAATCGACAAACTTTGTTTGGAGGATGCTCAAGTCTAAGAGGTGGTTGCATGTAAACTTCCTCTGCAAGATCACCATTTAGGAAGGCATTTTTCACGTCCATCTGAAACAATTTCCATCCTTTTGCAGCAACAATAGCAATCAAACTACAAACTGAAGTAGGACAAGCAACAGGTGCAAAGGTTTCCTCATAATCAATCCCATATTCCTGAGTAAAGCCTTTAGCAACCAAACGAGCCTTGTAATGCTCCACAGAACCATCAGATCGAGTTTTAATCTTGTACACCCATTTACAACCTACTAGAGGCTTTCCAGCAGGAAGATCAACTAAATCCCATGTACAAGTTTTCTCAAGAGCTTATAATTCATCTTGCATAGCTTGCTACCAAAAAGGGTTAAAAGAGGCCTTTTGATAGGATTGAGGCTCATGTAAGGAGGTAATAGCAGGAAAACAATGATAATCACGAAGATAGTTAGGAGGATTTTTTACCCAAGTAAGACGACTTGAAGGTGGATTAAGGATCTCATTTTCGGGCTCAATAGGGTCAGATCCAATAGGTGACACAGAAGAGGGAAGGGAAGAAGACTCACTATTGTCTAATGCATTACTAGCAGGCAGAGCATCTTCTATAGTACTAGGTGGAGCATGTGGAGAGGCATCATGGAGTTATCAAATGTATCTACATCAGAGTCACTAGGAAATAGCTCAATAAAAAGGTTAGTAAAAAGTGGAGGTTGATCAAAAGATGACACTTGGAAGTTTGATAATGAGGAAAACATAGTGTGTTCCCAAAAGATAACATGACGTGAGACTCAAAATTTTTGTGACATAGGATCCTAACAATGATATTCTTTATGTGTAATCCCATAACCCAAAAAACAACATAATCGAGCTTTAGGCTCTAACTTGTTATGTTCATGAGATGGAAGAAGAACAAAACAAGCACAACAAAAAACTTTAAGAAGATCATAGGTAGGAGGAATATCATGTAAACATTCGTATGGAGACTTATTATTGATGATTGATGATGGAATTTGATTAATGAGATAAACAGCTATAAGAGTAGCTTCACCCCAAAATCGCTTTGAACAAGAAGACGAAATGAGCAGAGCACGAACAGAATCAAGGATATGTCTGTGTTTATGTTCGACTCGCCCATTCTGTTTAGAAGTGTAAGGACAAGATTGTTATGCCAGTGTATCCTATTCTTTCAGAAATGATTGAAATTTAGTACTAAGATATTCAATGGCACTGTTAGTCCTCAAAACTTTGATAATTTTAGAGAACTTGGTTTTGACCATGGTAGCAAAATTAATATAAATTTATGGTAACTCAGAGTGATTTTTCATAAGATATATCCAAGTAAAATGAGTATAATCATCAATAAAAAACACAAAGTACTTAGAACCCCCCATGGAAGGTGTTGGAGATGGACCCCAAACATCAGAATGCATGAGATCAAAAGAAGCAACAGAAAGAGAACGACTACTAGACAAAGATAAAGTTGATTGTTTTACAGCTTAACACAACACACAATGTAAAGATTCATTCGGAATAGATCCTAATAAACCATGAGAGATAAGAGGACAGAGTTTACCGATTAAGGTGTGTCCAAGTCGTGAGTTCCATAAATGAAGAGCATAAATGTTAGTAGCAACACAAGTTTGAAAGATTTGTTGACATGGAATTTGCAAAGATTATAATTCAATAGCACAAAGTAAGGTTTGGATGAATCAATCATTTGGAAATGATGGTGTATCCATTTTATGATGAGGAATGTGCAGATAATTGAGCTCAAACAGACGCCCCACCTTGTGACCAATTCCAAGAAGTTGTCCTGTTTGTGGGTCTTGCACACGACAATCATGAGTAGAAAATGTTACTTCAAGATCGAGATCACATAATTGACCAAGATCACATAATTGACCAATAGATAAAAGATTATAACTAAGTTTTGGAACCAAGAAAGCGTTTGGTAAAGTCAATGAATTTGTAGAAATATTGCCAATATGACTAACATTCATAGGGGAGCCATCAGCAGAATAAATGTCAAGAAAGGAATTATTTGGTGACAGTGAAGAGAAATGAGCAGTAGTTGAAGACATGTGATTACAACAATCAGAATCAAAATACCAAGGTTTAGTACCTGGAGCAGTAGATAAGGTAATAGGAGCATTAAGAAGATTTAATATCACCTATTTGATAGATTCAGGGTTGACAATAGGTTGGTTTATCACCTCTTTGGCAATCATTGCAGTAGTAGGATGAGTCACAGTTCTTCAAAACTCGCCATAAAATCAGCATAACTTACAATACTAGAAAAATCTCCCAAAAAGTGCATGAGAATAAACAATCCAATCTGTAGGAGAAGAGAACCCAACGACAAAGTTTCAGATCCGGAATAGATTTAAAAAACCAACTTATAAACCAAACAATGATGATAAAAAAGAAGAACCAGGAGCTTATAGCTCTGATACCATGTTAGAAACAGAAAAAAAGGAGAAATACCTGAAGAAAGGTTTATTGCTTTCTTGAATAATAATATATGTACAATGACCTATATATAAGTGTTTACAAAGAGAATATTTTAAGATATAAAGTATATAAAAAGAATATTCTAAGGTATAAAATATTTAAAATAAGTGTATTCACATCTTAACAAAAATTATTGTTTTAATTGTTTGGTTACGTATCATTTTTTTTTTTCAAAACGTTAATGGAGATCGAAATTCTAACCAATTAACCCAAACACCTTAAAATTTGAGGACGAACCACTAGGACCAAATGTCCAATTCGATTATGTATAAATTTAATAATTGTTTATGTGTAAATTAAAATAAAAGGACAATATATATTGATTATGATATTAACATTCTAAAGTATGGTAATATTATCACCCTATATTTTAATTATTATTTTTCGTTTATTTTGAGCTAAATAGTCAAGCCGCCTCTATATTATTATTTTCTTTCCCTAGCTAATATGTCGAGTTTAACATGTTGGGTTGAGCTTTCAAAGGCAGGCATTTTGCCTCCTTCAATTGGATATTGATGAAAGTCAAAACTAGAAACTAGTTTCTTCTCTTTTCTTTTCTTCTTTATGTAGAGATTATGTAAAATGTATTGACCTTACCATGAACATGATAGACAATTGAGGTCAAGAATATATAGTACTTGACTTTGATAAGGACAGCAAAATTGTATATATTGGATTTCAAGCCGACAACCTGAATGGTATGAGGACAAAAAGGAAGAAAAATGGAAAAGCCAAGGAGAACGGATAAGAGGAAGAAGACAAAAAGGAACTCCAATAAACTCGCGTACTAGAGACAAGAAAGAAAAAAGTACTTTTTATTTCAAATCTAGTTTATATAATATGGTATATTAAGGATGTCGGGTTGAGTTTAAAAACTAAGTTGCTTAAAAAATAAAATTCTTTCTCGTGAATTAAAAATTTATTTAAAATTTTAATTTTTAAAGTGGCTACACATTCGAAAGCTATACGTTATTTTTTAAAATTTTGCTTAAAAGTTATTTTAAAATTTAATTTTTAAAATTTTTAATAAATTTTTAAATTTAT